TCTGTCCCTGGTGAAGTGGTCAAAGATTCCACATGTCAAAAATCTCCATTTCCTGCAATGAAACAGTCTCTCTCTAATATAGGTGAGTTGATATTTTAGAATGTTTTTTTAAATGTATTTTTGGTATAGTCAATGTTCTTTTATATGTCTGTTCCTCCCTGGCATGAATCATTGATAGCTCATAAATTTAATTGATGCTCAAGGTTTAAACAGAGGAGCTACAAGGATAGGTCCAACACATGCTTGAGTTGAATTCAGTGTGATAAATGTCTTCTTAAACAAAAGCTTTTCCTCCAGTCAGTAAAATGTGTGTGGTCCATATTCTCAGATGGGTTTGATGGTGACTGAATGGAAAATCAGTTCTCATAAAATTTTTGCCACAGTAGTTATATGCAGATGTTGTGAGTTCGTAAGTGATTAGTAAGTCTTGGTTTCTCAGTAAAGCTTTTCTGGCATTCTGTACATTTATAAGGTCTCTCTCCTGTATGAGTTCTCTGGTGTCGAATAAGATCGGCATGGCGACCAAAGCTTTTTCCACAGTCTGTACATATGTATGATGATACTGGACTCTTTTTTGCATGAATTCGCTTGTGTTTTAGAAGGCCTATCTTCAACTTAAAAGTTTTCTTACATTCTGTACATAGGTATAGTCTCTCTCCTATGGGTGTTTCCTGATAGAAAAGGATCTCTCTGAATTTACTGCCATCTCCTTCATCCGAAGTAGTGTTACCCATTCTGTTTCCAGTAAGATTCCCTGGCTCTGTTTCTGTTCTCCAACGACTCTCACAAGTCATTCCCCTGTCAGAAGTTTGGAAAACCAGGTCTTCTGAGCTTGAAAATGATCTATGCAATTCCATATTTTCTGGAGCGTCCTCATTATTCTGCACTTCAGTTTTGATCACAATCCCATTATCCTCTGAAATAAAGAGCATCCAAACATTCATTTCATCTGCTTGGAAAAAGGAGATCTAAGAATAAAACAGTCCTGATCCATAATTAACAAAATGTGTTTAGGTCATATTGTTCTGGGGGGAGCGTGAGGAAGAGACATAAAAGCCAGAAAAAATGATACACTATTTATGGGTCCAATAAGTTATGTCACTCAAACTTTTGCATATAAAACGCCTCTTGAACTTCCAATTTCTGAAGTTTAAAGAATTTAGGTTAAAAGAACTCCACTCTAGGTTATCTATTCTATCTCCCTGAATTGTAACAGGATTTATTTGACTTCCTAAGCTATCCCTAGTAGAAGCCATGAGTATGGCCAGAAATGATTCTACAACTTTAGTACACTCAATATCCACCTGTGCCCTTCTATTGTTACTGACAAAACCATTGTCCATACCTTTGCCATCACACTTTGATTTTTTGTAATTTCCTCTGTGGCCCCCTCGAGTCTAACCCCTTCCACTCCACTCCCTGCAAAAAGCCACTGCTAATGTCATTTTTCTCCGTCACTTAAACTGAATTACTTAACTCCACACATGGCCCCGGGGCTGCAATGGAGATAGAATCAGATAACTGCACCAAGGCAAGGCTGTTGGGAGATTTATTTATTAATTCTCAGAGTTTCAGATCTTTGGATGGAAGATGCAATGTATCTGATTATTATAAAAACTCAGTAACTTGTACACATAATAACAATTTTCTTTGTTAGTAAAAAGACAATTACAGCTATTTTTGAAAAGCAGCAACACCTTTAAAGCCCTATATGGAAACTTCTGGTTGAGTACCTATTTTAGGTTCTTTCTAACTCTGGCTATTTTCAGCAATAAAACGTACCCTTTTAATTCTGTTTTTCAGTAAAACAAAACAAGAGGGCGTGTGTGTGTGTGTTAATGATATACACATAAGAAACTTACCTCTAGATATACACACTTCTCTAGAAAGATATTTTAATGAAGAAAAAACATGAGTTTAATTATTATATTAGCATTACAATTTTAAAAGGCCTTTCACCCTTAGTGCAACTACAGAACATACTATTTGGATGGACTTTGCAGGATGTAGACATTCTGGGCACAGTTTAATGGGCAGATTAAATTGTCACCAAAAGGCAAAACTACCTCAACATATATACAGTTTGAAATATATGACAAACTGTACACCAACTGTGTGTTTTAAATTTCAGGGACTGTGCAACATTTTAGATGTATTTACAATTTACAACTTTTAATTTAAATTACTGTGTTTTGGAGATTGGTGTTCACTGATTATTATGACAGAAAAAACAACTGTGTTATACTGTAATCAATAACAGCCGGTCCCCGAGTTGCAAACGGTCGACTTATGACCATTCGCAGTTACGACCAAAGCTGTCGTAAATGGCAGACCCTGAGTTACGAACGCGATCCGCGCTTACGAACAGCGCGGTCGCATGTAACTCAATGGGGTTTGACTTATGAACGAACCGAGTTACGACCAACTGCTTGGTCCGTAACCGGTTCGTAAGTCGGGAAGAGGCTGTAGTCTATGCTATTGTATAAATACAGCCCACAGAACTTTCCTGAATTACTTTCTGTTTGAACTACAGCACTGTAGGTTATGGGCTAGGGCAGGTGTGAACAATTCCCAATTTTGTGGAATGGACTCCTCTCTACTGTCTATGAACTCCCCGACATTAGGAGGGTATTTACATGGCCTCCTGCCTAGAGCCAAACTTATTTCATACTAATTCTCTGTTTTCCTGCTCTCAGCAAAAAAGCTGGAAAAGTAAAGTCTTGTCTGTGTGAGAAAATTGCATCAATTTAAGAACATACATGTAAATTAATCCAGTGCAAACTAGAGATGCAATAGTTAGTTGATTAACCGATTAACCAATAAGCAAAAGCTTATAGGTTAATGCCATAGACTACATGCATTTCTCTCCTCCTCCCTCCCCGCCAATACATTTTTTAGCAGTCTGGCCAGCAGTCTGGTTCAGTCCTGCCTGGCAATGAGTCTGCTGCATCTCTGCATTTAAAGTGTATTAGGAGCTGAGCAGGCAGGCAGCCCAGCTCAGTTCCAGCTCTAGCTGGGTCCTGTGAGTGGAGTTGTTTTTTAAACTGGCTCCCCTTGTGGACCAGCTTCCGCTTGGCACCCCATGCTGCTGCCTCTGATATAGATACAGCAGGCATCAGCACAGACTGGCAGAAGGCTCCTCCGGAGTGGGGCCAGAGCACACTGGCTGTCAGCCTTGCCCCCAGGGACTATAGAATAGTCAACTAACCAATCAGAATTCATGAGGTTACTTGACTATTCAATAAACTGATATTTAACATCCCTATCTTGAACCATTTCATGGTTTGAATCACATTTTAATGCAGAGCTCATGTAAGGGATCAAATGCCCACACATTCATGATTGCAGAGAATCCCCATATACGAGCACATATTCTACTGCAGCTGCTTACATGGGAAAGTAATAATTGTAAAATATTTAAAGTAAGTTTAAGTCCCTCCCGCCCCCAATGTGATTTAGCAGTTAGAAGGAGAAGCCAGAAAAATAAGAGAGAGTTCTTTACAGACCCACCACTAAGCAGTCATGGACCATCTTTTGAGGACCTCTGCTCTATTGAATATGCACTTTGCAAAATTCATTATTTTAACTGCTTATTTGCCAGTTAATAAAACAAATATTTAAGAAAGGAAAAGACTAAAAGTTAGAGAAAACAGAATAGTAAAAAATGTGGCAAACCTTCCCATCAGTTCAGTTACCAGTAGAGTTGCCAACTTTGTAATATTTAAAAACCAGACACTCCACCCTTCCAGAAACATCTTGCCTCTGCACCCCCCGTTTCCTCCTGGCATTCAAGGTCCTGCTTCTGACACTAAGGCTTCACCACCACTTGCTTCTCTTCTACTCTCCCGTCACTTGCTGCTTTCCTTCTTTCCGCTCCTCGGTCCTGGCTGGGAGGGACTGGCCTGAAGAGCCAGGGCTGGAAGCTGTAGCTGCCCAATGCAAGTAGTAAGTGACCTTAGCTAAGTAGGGGCTGGCACAGGTTAGTGACCAGGTGCCTCCCTGCCCTGATTTTGGGTATCCAGTCAGTAGATCTGACCAGACACTGTCAAGTCCCCCATTCAATTGGATTTTCCAATCGAACACTAGGCACTTGGCTGCTCTGGTTATCTAGCAGCATTCACTGAAAACAGATGTTATTATGTATACTACAACATAGTATTCTCCGTGTAACAGCTGATCATACAAAACAAAGTTTTACTGCCCCCCCTCCCACCTTTAACTCTCCCTAACTGTTCGTATGTAGACACAATTGGGCAGTGTTAAAATCAACACTATAGAACTTGGAGTATTTATTTTAATCCCACCCCGACCCCAGGCAAGAAATTCTACATCATGAAGTTAAAAAAGGGGCACAAATCAGATATTTATAACTCTTTGCAGGCCACCTTTAAGCAAGGTATTGAACAAGATGCACAGAAAAAGGGGCACAAATCAGATATTTATAACTCTTTGCAGGCCACCTTTAAGCAAGGTATTGAACAAGATGCCTATGATTGAACAAGATCTCTATGATTTTTCTGACCTGTTGATAATATTTTTAAGCAGATGACTCCACTATTTGTTCCCTGTCTCCATGAGCTGGCTCCAACTTCAGATGAAGCATCAGTCTGCATTTGGTTTATAGTGAATAATCCCTTATAAATTTCACCTCTCATCTTTCATGTGGCATAGAAGCAATAGAAAGGAAAGTATTATACATTTGTTTTCCCTTCCAGGAGCTAAAAAATGAAGCCTGTATCTTGTGTGCTACAAATTACTCTAAATTGTTGAAGTTTGAACTGCATTTTGGTCTTTGGCCATACTAACATGTGTGGTTGGTACTTTCACTGTTGGTATCTCTGTCATTTGACTATACTTAATGGACTTTTTCCATATTATGTGGAAATAAATGGTAATATACCATCTGACTATACTTAATGGACTTTTACCATTTATTTCCACATAATATGGAAATATACCATTAAGTATAGTCAAATGACAGAGATACCAACTCACAGCAGGACTAAGTACCATCCCTGACAGATTTGCCCCAGATCCCTAAATGGCCCCCTCAAGGATTGAACTTACAACCCTGGGGTTAGCATGCTAATGCTCGAACCACTGAGCTATCCATCCCCCAATTACTAAAGAAGCCCAATCTCTAAATGTGATCTAGAGCTCTTTGAAGCTCTAACTTCTATCAAAAATTCTGTGAATGACCATGCTCTGTCCCTGGTGAAGTGGTCAAAGATTCCACATGTCAAAAATCTCCATTTCCTGCAATGAAACAGTCTCTCTCTAATATAGGTGAGTTGATATTTTAGAATGTTTTTTTAAATGTATTTTTGGTATAGTCAATGTTCTTTTATATGTCTGTTCCTCCCTGCATGAATCATTGATAGCTCATAAATTCAATTGATACTCAAGGTTTAAACAGAGGAGCTACAAGGATAGGTCCAACACATGCTTGAGTTGAATTCAGTGTGATAAATGTCTTCTTAAACAAAAGCTTTTCCTCCAGTCAGTAAAGTGTGTGTGGTCCATATTCTCAGATGGGTTTGATGGTGACTGAGTGGAAAATCAGTTCTCATAAAATTTTTGCCACAGTAGTTATATGCAGATGTTGTGAGTTCGTAAGTGATTAGTAAGTCTTGGTTTCTCAGTAAAGCTTTTCTGGCATTCTGTACATTTATAAGGTCTCTCTCCTGTATGAGTTCTCTGGTGTCGAATAAGATCGGCATGGCGACCAAAGCTTTTTCCACAGTCTGTACATATGTATGATGATACTGGACTCTTTTTTGCATGAATTCGCTTGTGTTTTAGAAGGCCTATCTTCAACTTAAAAGTTTTCTTACATTCTGTACATAGGTATAGTCTCTCTCCTATGGGTGTTTCCTGATAGAAAAGGATCTCTCTGAATTTACTGCCATCTCCTTCATCCGAAGTAGTGTTACCCATTCTGTTTCCAGTAAGATTCCCTGGCTCTGTTTCTGTTCTCCAACGACTCTCACAAGTCATTCCCCTGTCAGAAGTTTGGAAAACCAGGTCTTCTGAGCTTGAAAATGATCTATGCAATTCCATATTTTCTGGAGCGTCCTCATTATTCTGCACTTCAGTTTTGATCACAATCCCATTATCCTCTGAAATAAAGAGCATCCAAACATTCATTTCATCTGCTTGGAAAAAGGAGATCTAAGAATAAAACAGTCCTGATCCATAATTAACAAAATGTGTTTAGGTCATATTGTTCTGGGGAGAGCGTGAGGAAGAGACATAAAAGCCAGAAAAAATGATACACTATTTATGGGTCCAATAAGTTATGTCACTCAAACTTTTGCATATAAAACGCCTCTTGAACTTCCAATTTCTGAAGTTTAAAGAATTTAGGTTAAAAGAACTCCACTCTAGGTTATCTATTCTATCTCCCTGAATTGTAACAGGATTTATTTGACTTCCTAAGCTATCCCTAGTAGAAGCCATGAGTATGGCCAGAAATGATTCTACAACTTTAGTACACTCAAAATCCACCTGTGCCCTTCTATTGTTACTGACAAAACCATTGTCCATACCTTTGCCATCACACTTTGATTTTTTGTAATTTCCTCTGTGGCCCCCTCGAGTCTAACCCCTTCCACTCCACTCCCTGCAAAAAGCCACTGCTAATGTCATTTTTCTCCGTCACTTAAACTGAGTTACTTAACTCCGACCCCCTTCACTGTCTTCCTCTTAAAAAAAACAAAAACAAAACAAAACAAAAAACCCCTACATTAAACAGAAATATATCCTTACCTTCAAGGCATTTAGATCATCTTCCCCCCGCCCCACTCCCTCTCTATATTTCCCATGCTTCTCCCTGTTCCCTCACCTTACTGCTACCTTTTCCTTTAGCACTGTTCCTTAGAGTCCCCCTATATGTGGGGCATCATCCCTTTTCTTTGGCAAGCACTTTCTCGACTCTTTCAGACCTTTTATTGAAACACCTCATGGAATTTTTCCTGCCTCATGTGCCTTATTAATAATTCTTCGCCACCACCAACTGTCCTGAATTATTTTTCTACATCACTCAACCATTATGTTAATAATGATGGTCATACAAGTACCAAAGAGAGGTTTCTTTTTAGACCACATGTTCTGTAGGAAAGGGCATGTGTCATACTATTTGTTTAATAATGATTAAGTACATTTTTTATCAGTAGGGATGTAAATGGTTAATCAATAAGAGCTAGAGCAGCTCCCTGCCTGCCCCATGCAGGGATCTGCCCCAGCCCCATGGGCCCACCAGAGCAGCCCCTATCCGCAGTGGGCCTGGCCTCTCTGCTGCATGCTACATGCTGGCTTCCCAGAAACAGGCTGGCAGGGAAGCCAGCTGCAGAGCCTGCAGCAAAGCCTCCCTGGGAGAGGGGCTGGCAGGGGCTGTGGCTTCACTGCGGGCTCTGCAGTATAAAGCTCAAATAAGATTATTTAAGCTTTACACTGACAGCATGTAACTGCTAAAAGTCATAGCAGTTACAGTTTTTTACATCCCTAATCAGTGTGATTTTTAATCTTTAAAAAATGTTAGTCATATGTATTAGTTACACATAACATTACACATAGTAATAACACACTTAATCCAAGCAGTCAGAAATAGGGTGATGAAAGGAGAGAAACTGCCTTGTATCAAAGTTCATTGGTTCCCATATCTACAATGGGTTCATGACAATTTCTGGTTATACAATAGCTCTATAAGAAAAAAGACAAAGCTATAGGAGTTCATCATGATGGTTTTTCTTGCCATCTTTAAGTCATTTACTCTTCCAGAGATGTCTTAATCCATTACTCACCTATGCTAGGATTCACAGACATTTCTCTTTTCTCCAAGCCCTGCCGAGCCTTGATATGTAGCTCTTCTCTTGACTGAATATCATGTTTGGAGACTGAATAGTTTGGACAGAAAATTAAAAAAAATGCCCATAATATCTTAACAGATATTTTTCAACTTCAAAGAATGTCACATTATCTGACACTAAGATACTTACATTGCAGAGGTAGTAGATAAACGGAGCAGAAGCAACAGTGTTAAAGGTGTCCATTTTTGAGCCTGTTTATATTTTCAGCTTATGAGATTTTTGGCCTACCTATTTGTGTGTGTCAAAATCACTGTTTTCAGGAATATCTGTTAAAGGCAGTGGCTTTGACCTGTCCAGGAAAACCAAGGGACTGAAATGTAAGTTCTGCCCCTTGCAAATGGAAATAGATTTTTCTTCTCCATCCCCACACAACTCCTCTGTACTGACAAATGGTATATGTATCATCTAGACATGTTAAAATTAGATTAATCGGCTAATCGAATTGTCAATGGAATTTCCATCAACTATTTGATTAGTCAATAAGAGTGCTTCTGCTTTGAAATGTACCAAGAGCCTGCCCAGCTGTTGCTACATTTCAAAGGCAGAAGTGCTGTGCAGCATTCTGCTTGTGAAATGTGCAAGAGCCCCAGCAGAAGCTCTTGTGCATTTCAAAGATTGAAACACTGTGTGAAGCCTGGCCCCAACAGGAGTCCTGCCACAGGCCCCAGGCTCCATGTGGCGCTTCCACCTTTGAAATTTACAAGAGCCCTAGCGGGGACTCTTGTACTTTTCAAAGGTGGAACTCCGCCACTGCGCCCCTGCTCCCTCCCTCGGAGCTGGAGGGAAACCGGCACCTCCTCCTCTTCTCCCCACTAGCTGCCTCTTTCCGACGGAGGCAGCAAGGGGGGAGGGGGGGTGGGAAATGACTAGTCACTTACATACCTAGTACCATGCCTACAGAGCATGCTCTAACTCTGGGGCTGGCAAGATTTGGCCTGCCACGCCTTTTAATTTAGCCCATGGCACGCCCTGCCTGTAAGGATATGACCTTTTTCTGGAGCCATATGGGAAGGCCTGTAGGCATAATGGAAGGTCTAAAACTTAGGGCCTTCATCTGCAGCCAGACAAAGAACAGTAGCCATCAGCTGTAAAGCAGGAGTCACAGACTCACATTCCATCTAAATTGCATTAAAATAGTGTAATACCAGGCTGTTAAAAAGACAGCACCCACTATTACCAAATAAACAGATTTCAAGATGGGTAAAGAAAATGTAAAAGCATTTCATCTGTCAAGAAACTCCTTAGAAATAGTAGGGATTCTGGAATCCTCATTCTAGGATTATGGTCCTCACTTCCCTGTTGCTAGTCTGTATGCTTTCTGGTTTTTTTAATTGTTTCTGTTTGCCGTATAATTAATTTTAGTAGGTGTAAATCAATTAAGGTGCTGAGGTATGATTGGTTAGATAATTCTATTACAATAGGTTAGGACTGGTTAGTAAAATTTTAGTAAAATAATTTATTATGGTCTAGCTTAGCAGGAACCGAGTTTCAGTATATACATCGGGGGCCCAAAAGGAAGTTCTTTGGAAACCAACTCCAGAACACAGCTCCACGATCAGAGCTGCCAGACCCCAACCTTGTGCTAGTACTATGCAGAAACTGGAGTCCCCCAGATCCTGACTGGCCATCAAAACAAGTTAATTGTCTTATTGGAAGTGGTTAGTGCGTGCATTCTGCTGAGGACCAAATGTGTGCCCAAAACTTCAATGGGGGGAGGCGGGGAGTACATGATTAGAAGTAAAAAACAGATGTTAATTTATGAGTAATCCTGCAAGACATAAGAAAGGATTTGCAGATTACTGTTAATAAAGATCCTGCAGAAAAATAGAATGTTTGCTAAGAAACTCAGGGAGAATCCCGATTGCACTACATGTAGTAAGCCACCTGGCAGTTTGTAAGTCAGCTGAAAGTCCAGATTCTTTTCAAGAGGAAGACCATACACCCCTAATCTTTTCCACTGCCATTTTTTTTGTCTTAGAGCTTGCATACGGATTAGAAAAGATATAATCACAGATGATAACTACTTAAATACTTCATTTTTGACATCCTTTACTGAAGCAATATACAGGACTATGTAGCACTTTAAAAAGACTAACAAGATGGTTTATTAGATGATGAGCTTTCGTGGGCGAGACCCACTTCCTCAGATCAAAGGTACCTTACCCATTACAAAGATAGCTTCCCCAATTATCACCTCTAATACCATTAACTCACAGACACCTACCCTTCCCCACCTCTAATATCAACTCACAGACATTTACCTTCCTTCCCCCCTCCTGTTCTGAAATGTGATTTGTCCTTTTCATATGTGTTCATTTTTTTTAATTGTATCCTTTGGTATATATGGTTGTGACTATTTTCTTCCACTATTTGATCTGAGGAAGTGGGTCTGGCCCACGAAAGCTCATCATCTAATAAACCATCTTGTTAGTCTTTAAAGTGCTACATAGTCCTGTTTTTTGTTTCAGCTACACCAGACTAACATGGCTACATTTCTATCCCTTTACTGGAGGAGTGTTTTATTCATATCACACATGGAAAATAGCATCTGTGCATGCGGATTCAACATATATGCTATTTAGTTGTGTAAGCATTTTTCACTGCAGAAAGGCAGTGGATGTACAGGCACTAGAAGCATGACTATGTTTAGCAATGTTCTTTTACCGAAAAAACATATGGAGTCGATCTTTTATCAAAAGGTTCTGGAGAACCTAAGCAATGATTAACCAGCAATCAAAAGTTTGCGAAAACTGTTAGGCTGGCTTCTGTCTAAGAACTGTACATATCTCAAGTTCTAGAGAATGGAGTGAAAACTGACCGTTACCCAGAGAGATTAAAGATTCATAATTGTCCTTTATCACTTTTTTGTAAAGCTCTTTTTGCCACTCTTCTAAATTCTTCCCTTCAGGAGCTGCAACAGTATCAAAAGTCCCTGGGACCTGAAACAGAAAGTATTACATACTTAGTATCATTGATTACATCCTGACAAGGATATTACTGAGAATATTAAATGAACAGTTAGTTGCTGGGTGTTTCTGATGGCACTGATGCTACTCTATATATATATCACCCATTTGCAAAAAGGAATTAGATATTTCTACTGCTATTTCTATGTCTCTCACAAAGTCAGCATAATATATCAAGGTGGTATTCCTTAACTCCTTACTGAAGTCATGATTTCTCAAGCAAAAGAATCAAGAGAGACACATCGATCAATAAAGTCATCTTGACCAACCTCTGAAAGTCAATGTAGTTCTCTTCAATACATTATTGAGTGCTTTCTTTGTCCACAGTATTTTAAATGAGTCAAGCTATGAGGCAACTCCACAGTTTAATTGATCTGACTGCCAAGATTTCTTTTCCATAACTGACCTAAACTTTTCCTTTACTCATTTATAATACCTTACTTCTAGGTACACTGCCTTGCACCACACTAAGTAATTCTTCGCCCTCTTTAGCAAATTATACCTTTCAAATACTGGCAGACTAGGGATGCAAAATCCCATTTAACTGAGGGATGTTAAATAGTGGTTAGGAAGCTAATCGAGTAATTGATGGAATTTTGCCGCTGCTCTGCTTTTTCAATGTAGTGAGAGTTACCAGGCAGCAAGTTTAAAACAAACAAAAGGAAGTTTCTCTTCACACAGTGCACAGTCAACCTGTGGAACTCCTTGACAGAGGATGTTGTGAAGACCAGGACTTTAACAGGGTTCAAAAAAAGAACTAGATAAATTCATGGAGGTTAGGTTCATCAATGGTTATTAGCCAGGATGGGTAGGAATGGTGTCCCTAGCCTCTGCTTGTCAGGAGCTGGAAATGGAGGACAGGAGAGGGAGCACATGATGAGTTCATGTTCTGTTCACTCTCTCTGGGGCATCTGGAATTGGCCACTATTGTAAGACAGGATACTGGGCTAGATGGACCTTTGGTGTGACCCAATATGGCCGCTCTTATTGTCAAGAACTCCTCCTAAACAGTAAGATCATGACATTTAATACACAGTTTCCTCTTATAACTTATGTACTACACTGAAAAAGAAGAGGCCCAGCATCTGGGACCCAGTGGAAGCCGGGATTCTCAGTCCCGGCTTGCACCATTTCCCCCCATTGTGCGTCTGCCTCCCCTGCCCCTCACAGAGACGGTGCTGGATGGAACCAGCTTTTAAGCTGGCTCCCCCCAGCTCCGGCTCCTGCTCTCCTGCCTTGCTGCTTCTGATACAGCCTCTGTTTAACCCAGAGGTGGGGAACCTAAGACCTAGGGGCCAGATGCAGCCCCCAGCTTGCCTGGGTCCAGCCCTGAGGCTCAGGGTCCCCCCACCCCAGCACTTGGGAACCTGCACTGGCACTCCAGCCCTTTCTCTCTGCCCCAGGAGTGGAGCATTCAAAATCTACTAGGCTGGCCCCACCCCATAGACTCTGATGTGTGAGGAGAGTGTGTGGAGTGTCTTTCTGCTTCTCAGTCGGGGGCCACATCAGTGACAGTTTGGGTTTTGTTTCGTTTCATCACTTGTGTGAGGCCCCCCCCAACTGATTCTTCTGTGGGTCAGCAGCCCTCGATCCAAAAAAAGTTCCCCATCCCTGGTTAACCCACTAAGTGGGTTCCTAGGTGGGGCTGCCAGCTCCTGGCCTGTGAGGGCTGGGAGTTGGGAGTCCTATGCTCCAGTTGGGCTGGAGCAGTCCTTTGCCTGTGGCAGACCATGGGCATGGAGGAGTTCCTGGTAACAGTTACCCAGTAAGCATTACTCAATAAATGTGATGCTTACTGGGTAACCGGTTACCTGTCCACATTCCTATTGCAGAGTGGTACATCACTTCTTCACTAAATACATTTTTTTTTAAAAAATCTTTCCTTATAAATCAAACCCTCCGACCCTTTAGTCTATTTGGTTGCTCCTTTTTGAATTCCCTCCAACTCATCTAGACCCTTATGATTTGAGGTGACCAGAGCAAGTGCAGTATTATAGCTGCAGTTTCTTAAGTTCATTTCCTCTTCCATGTCTCAGATAGGAAGTGCCTTTTTTGGTCTTGAATCTTGTGCAATGCCCACAACTTCCACAGAGATTAAACAATTTCTGACATTTTTGCTAGTATTCTTCCCCTACAGTTATAAGCATAAAATTTTAAAAGTAAAAACATTAATGAAAAGCTAGTGGAAATACATTCAAGACGGCTAATGACATATCTGGCCTGTAGTCCCCCCACAATTAATTTTAATGTTAAAAAGGACACACTACATGTAAAGTTGTATGAATACTTGCCTGATCACTATTATTGTTGCAGGACAGCTTTTATCCATTTGGAAATTTGTGAGTGAACACTCTGCCTTTTTGTACTGTCTTTCATTTGAATTGGTATCTAAGCATTTAACTAGTATTGATAGTACAACATATGGACCCAGTTTTACAAACCAATAGTCAAATGAGTATTCATTTTTAAATTAGCAAACTATTCCATAAGTAAACTCTACTCAGATGTGGGTTTGTAAGATCTGGCCTTAAGCAGATAAAACTCATGTACAAGATACCAAACTGAACCTTAGCTACTGTTTAACAGTCCTCAGCAAGGTCTACCTGGATCTGAAGAAGAGATCTGTGTAGCTCAAAAGCTTTCACCAACATACTGGTACAATAAAAACAAAATCTTCCAATTTTGTCTAATATACAGAAACCAACAGTGATTCAATACTAGACCCAATAAATACGTACAGTATAAGCTTTATACTACAAAATAGTCAGCCCAAAGAAATTGAGATTATTCACATGAGTAAGGACAACTCACTCATATGAGCACAGTTTTGCAGGATCAAGATTCATCTTAGAGTAGGAAGTAAAGAAGAGCATGGTATCCAATTGAAATGCCAGACAGAAATTTTTACTTGGGCAGAATGCTATTACACAAGCTGAAACAGGATCAAGAGAAGGGTACTGAGATATTTTATGGATTTACAAGAACTCAGCAACCACATGCCTTCTTACTCCAACGTATACAATGATTAAAGTAGCAATTCAAAAGGAAAAGTGCACTCTACTGAATTATTTGTATTTATTTCCTGCAGCACTGAGGGGTTCCCTTGAAGAATTCTCATCCAAGTATTCTCTTATTATGCCCTCTTAATTGAGTAGAAATAATCAGAAGATATAATATTGAAAATTACCTTCAAATTTTCAGGATTCCGGATTCGTTTTCGAGTTTTATTACTTATTCCACCACAGAAACTTTGAGGTGTTCCAACAAGCCAATTTCCATCTTCACCCAAAATAAATTTTTTGGGAACTGCTTCTTTCAGTAGGCGTCGGTTTTTTCTAATTTTTAGAGGATCAATTTCAAAGGAACTGTCCTCAAAATGTTTAGAACATAGTCGTTGGTGTTTTGACGGAGTTCCCATTTCCCGACCCATATTGTGAATCCACTGCTTCAAAAGAGGTTTGTTATGCAAAGGAAAACCATAGAAAGTAACTGTATTGTTCTTATATACGCCACTTGTAGCATTTTGACAGTTCAAAGCTGAGCAATAAACCATTGTAAAGTGAGCAGAAGCAGCAAAACTAAAACAATAATATGATGCCAAGAGGTCAGTTTGAAGGGTTTAAAATAAACTATTGCTTTAATATGAAGAGTAGCAGATATATGCACCTCAACAACATACAATACTGTAAAATACAGGAAAAGATTAAGTTCTCAGTGAAGCAAAATGTAGTCGTGGAGCTAGACTTCAATATAGGAGACATGTGGCCCTCAGCATAGCTGACATCTGTAAAATACAGAGAAAAGTCAGGCTCCTGCTTTCTTAAATAATATACTGGTCTTAAACATATACTGGTATACAGTTTCCACAACTTCAAGTACCTATTTACACCTCTGAAGTAAAGTGTTCCTTTTAAAACAACATAATTTAATATTATTTTGCATATCTCCCAAGTATTAAACACCCCTACATTACGAATACAAACAAATATATGCTATCCATCAGTATATAGTCTTAGGATTTTGCCATATTCAGGAACAAAAAGGTATTATAACATTAGGGTTACACAGAAGGCAGCAACAGAAGGGTGATGTACAATGTCCAAAAGCAAAGCAAAACAAAAACGAAAACCAAATCACACAGGCTACGTCTACACTGGCCCCTTCTTCGGAAGGGGCATGCTAATTTTGAAAGTGGGACTAGGGAAATCCGCGGGGGATTTAAATAAACATGGCCGCCGCTTTTTTTCCGGCTTTGGGAAAAGCCGGAAAAAAGCGTCTAGACTGGCCCGATCCTCCGGAATAAAGCCCTATTCCGGAGGATCTCTTATTCCTACTTTGAAGTAGACGTAGCCACAAGCAAATGTTAGCTTGACACCTGTCAAGAAAAGAAGAAGACTTTGAGATTTCCTTCTTCAGTGTGCAACCAGAGGAGGAATATATGAGCAGAGCCCTGCATATATGCAGCTATCACATCTGCAGATTTGCAGGGTTCTAGGAACAAATTTTGTATTGAAACAAAAGACAGGACTATGTAGCACTTTAAAGACTAACAAGATGGTTTATTGGGTGATGAGCTTTCGTGGGCCAGACCCACTCACTTCCTCAGACCAAATTGTGGAAGAAAATTGGCATTGGTCCCTGTGGCTCATTTTTGCAGATATTGATACAAATTCTATACTTAGATCCCTGCTAATTTGTGACTGCAGAGATTTGTGGAGCATTTCTGCACACATGGATTGCAACTTGTACCTGCGCAAGGTTCTATATATGGGAAACCCAGGGGGAGGGAGAAGGTCTTAGGAGAATTACGCTGGCATGCAGGAGCACAAGTATATGCGGATGCACAGGGAAGGGTGGGCAACACATCAGCTGCGAATTAGCGTTTTAGATGGGGCCCAAGGCACGTGTGAGGGCAAAGACAATGTGGAGAGAGGAGCAGCTAGAAGGGAAAGGGCTGGGGACGCCTTATGCAAACCAATTTAACCCGTTCGGGGGGGGGGGGGCCAT